TGCTGCCCGGATGGCGTCGACGGCCGCGCTGCTGCGATGGCCTAGCACGTCGTGTGCAGAGGCGCCCTCGTCAGCATCCTCGGCTTCCCCATCGCTGCTGTGTACGAGCTCCCCCGCAAGCGCCGTGGCTTGTTGGGAGGTCGTGGTGCTGGCGTAGAGGAAGAGATGGCCGGTGTCCTTGGACGGCAGCAGAGGCACACTCCATGTGGCAAACTGGATACGGCTGTCATCCGCAGCAATGACGACGGAAGCACCACGACGCGCGCGAGTCACCAGGTTCAGCGCCAGAAGGTTGTACTTGATGTCGGGGACATGCAGCACGTTCTTCAGCGTGATGGTGCCTGGAGCGCCGTCTGTGCCAGTCACGCGGAGCACGGCGTCGCCCTTGCCGATGACCGTGACGGTCTGGCTGTTGGCAACGGTGACGTGCTGCGTGACGGCGACGTAGTTGGTGAGGAGGGAGGCGTCGCTGGTGATGTGCGCCGTGGCACCGCTGTCAGCGAGCCACAGCTGTGGTGGCACTGGTCCGATGGCGTGGCCCTCCTCCTCGCCCTCGGGCTGCAGCATGAGGGCATCGTGGTGGATGGCGAAGGTCTCCACGCGCTGAGGGCCGTGGCTGACGACGGCCGCCTTCTTGAATGGAGCTGCTCGTCCGTGCTGCGGGCGAGAGGATCCTGGCCGCTTGCCGTTGCCGTTGCCGTGGTTGCGAAGCGTAGCCAGGATCTGCCGCACGTCGATGACGTGGTAGCGCTTGGCCGCCTGCAGCTTGCGGCACTGCTGCGCGCAGTGGCCGCGGAAGTTGCAGAACGCGCAAGTCACGCGCTCTGCAGGTGGACAGCATGGTCCACCGCTCGTGTCGGAGGGCGACGTGCCAGCGTGCATCGGCGATGCAGCGAAGGAGCCGGGGCTTGGCCCGCCGATGGCGAGCACGGGCGTGCGCTTCTTGGGACGATGCAGGCGGCGCTCCTCCTGGATGAGGTCCGCCGTCATCTTGGACAGCGATGGCGGCGGGTCCTCGCGCTCCATGAACCGCATCGCCACATCAAACTCTGCGGGGAGTTCGTTGCGGACGAGGGTGCGCAGGTCGTCCTCCGGGATGGACACGCCGGCAGCGAGGAGCTGCGAGTTGATGTCCGTGATGCGGGACATGAACGTGTCGACGGTGTCCGTGGGCAACCAGGTGGTCGAGGAGAGCTGCTGCCTTGAGGCGACTGACGTGGTCCTTGCCCGCTGCGGATGTAGCGCTCCGCGGAGGCGGCGCAGCGCAAGCACACCCGGAGCGGCCACGATTGTCGGGTGATGGCCCAGCCGCAGCGGGTGGTCCCGGTCAGGACGTCGGAGTAAGGAACGCGAGGATGGCTGCGTCAACCTGTGGATCACGGGGATCCAGCAGGCCAGAGGCTCGGGACGCCACCTGCGCTCCTCCGCTCGGAGTGGCGGAAGAAGGCAGAGAGGAAGAGGAGGAAGATGGGTGAGCGCCGTGGTCGTCGCCATCGCCCTCGTCATCGTCGTCATCATGGTCCGCCACGTCGTGGCGGGCGCCAGTGCGGCGAGGGCCGCGTTGAGCGCGGGAGCGAGTGCGGGGACCCGAAGCACCGTGGGTGCTTGGGCTCGGCGATGAGGCAGCTGCTGGAGCCTGCCCGTCTCCTTGGTGGTCAGCACCACCCTCGGCGATGATGCCAGCGTCGATGCCAGCGGCGATGAGCTTGGCCTCGACGGTGATGAAGAAGAGGTTTGCATCCTGCTCAGCGCCAGCGAAGACCTTGATGCCGTCTGCGCTAATTGAGCTGGGTCTCATAATCTGTTGTAAGTTCATGGTGGTGCTGTTGTTGGAGACTTGTGTGTGTGTGTGTGTGTGCTGTGTGCTGTGTGTGCTGTGTGTTGTGTGGGAGATTGTCTTGGCAAGAGAGAGAGTTGTGTGTGTTTACTTGAGTTGTGAAGCAAACAAGGATGTAGGATGAATGAACACTCCAACAGAAAGAAACAGAGCAGAAGACAAGAATTGTCGACAACGCAAAGTGGTGACGTGGCAGTGTTTGTTGAGAGTTGTGTGGTTATGTGGTGTGTTATGCAAGAACATGTAACATCGAGCAACCACACAAGCTAAACACTGCACGTGCAACAGGTTGGAGGGAAATCACGTGAACATTCCAGAACACAAGAGAGGTGAATGCAAATTTGTGGTGTCGTAAAGAAGGGAGGTCAATGATGACTCAGCAGACAGGACTTGCCTGTCAACACTAAACACTGCACGTGCAACAGGTTGGAGGGAAATCTGTTGAGACACGACAGGTGTGTGTAGAAACACGACAGGTGTGTGTGTGTGTTTACTGTAGGCAAACGCAACAAACAAGAATACAAGGAGAATGAACAAGTACAGCAAGCTGCTGCCCAATCTAACTCAGGCAGCACGCTCAAACAAACACTAGACAAGTGCACACACAGTCAGCAACGCTGCCAAGGCGACATGGGCAGAGTGTGCACGAACACAAACAATCTAAACAACGACCAGCATGCATACATGCGCGCAGAGCAATGCTAGGCATGGCATGAATGCTTGCAGGCAAGCATACACAACAGACAACACTTCACAACACTGCATGGCACGCACACATGGCATTTGCCAAGCATGGCGGGCATGCACACACACATGGCACACATGACACACAACTCACGTGTGCAGGGGAAAGAGGAGGAGAGGCAGGTGGTACACATGCATGCCAGCAGAAGCAGGAAGGAATGCTTGCCGAACGGAAAAGCCACAAAGCAAGGGGTTGTTGGAAAACAAGGAAAAAACGACACGCGAAGGCAAATTAGGAAAGACTCGACAGAGAACAGAAACTCACTGACTCTAA